CAGGAATAAAATATACAAAGACTTTAAACTTATCAACAAATGATAGATTGAATTCAAAATATAAATTCAAAGTTAACATTGAAATTACATTATTTTATTGACTGACTATCGCTATAATGGCACTCAATAAACAGTATTTAAGATCAACACTATTTGTGGCAAATCTCATGATTTTAATCGCATTTCTATTTATTATTATTCAGTTTTCGTTGTATTTTATCGCAAATAATATCAAACAAAATGTGTGCAAAACTATATGCAAAGACAGTGTATCGGACTGTTTGTTGACGAGCTGTAAGAATCCCAAGTGTTATAAACTGGAAATATTAGACATATTAGTGGTACTGATTCTTGAGCTGAAGATCTTATCCCAATTGTTTGCAATCATCGGTCTGTTTGGCAATAGTTTCGGATGGAAATCATATTTGGCATCATTTATATTCAGCTTTCCGTGGATTACATTCAATGTCTACGATTTCTGTAAGCATTTTCATTTGACTTTCCCTTCACTTTACAGTGTTTTTAATGCCAAACAACAAAAAATTACAAAAGGTTTCCTAAATTTATTTCTTGTGTTTTTTGTTTTATGTTGTTTTGCTTACAAATAAGTCTTTCACATATCCATTGAGAAAATCGCCGCTTTTAAACATATGCTGAGTTTTTGGTGGAATATATGTTTCTTCGCTATAATTCATATTTTTGACTTTTCAACAATTTTGGCCAATAGTTTGTTCATTCATTTCACACCAAATATATCATTGAGAACGAGGTTTGTTTCACATTTCCCTCAAAACCAAATCAATTACTTTTGATAATATATGAGAAGAAATTTGTTTTTATTTAAAAATCAATATTTTGCATAAATAAAAACAAATTAGTCAATAAAACATTTCTTATCGATTCCTACTTCCAATACTTATTTTAATATATTTTCTAAACTATTTATTACTTGAATTTAAAGCAAATAATAAATAAAATAATTGTAAATATTTTTTAGCGTCTAATCTAATCCGAAAACAGGAAAAACAAATGCTTGAATGTATTGACAAAACTGTTGCAATGGATTGCAGTGTTTGGCAACATTTGTTTGACGATTATAGCCCTCATAATTACCATTCAATGGACTCTACGAACTGATTGTTTAAGAGATTCGTTAGAATTAATCAAAATAATAATAGTTTACATTAAAATCATGGCTCATATGACAGGCATTTACTCGACCCTAACATTGGATGTGAACTTCATTATCGTTACAATTATATTATCAATTCCTTGGATTACTTTCATTATATTCCTACAGAATTGTGAGTTTTTCTTTCAAACAATACATACAATTATAAATTGCTTAATACATAGTATATAAAAATCATTACCTTAACTAATGTGAACATTATTTAGATAATGTTTCGTTAATTAAGCAAATATTTTGTGAAATGAAAAATGTTTTTATTTGTGTTACCATTTATACTACAATACGATAGATTTAACAACAAAAATGTTTTTTCACTCAATTATTAAAAAACAAAGTGTAGTCTATTATAAGAAAGTTTTCATTTCAGACCATTAGAGCGAAAGAAAGAGATATTATGAGATATTTTGTAAAAAAATTATATTAAAATATATTCAATACGTCGAGAGATCATGAATTTGAGAGCTCTAGAGCTTAGGTCTGATGTGAGGCTTAATGAAGGCTCTGGTGTTGAGATGAGACTTGAGATGATGTCTGAATCGTGTCTGACATCTAATGCGAGTTTGAATTAATGCTGAGTTTGAAAATAAAAATCGATTTTCTATTTCCCAGAATATTTCAAAAATACATGAATTCATACCAAATATTATTTATATTTTTCTTAATTAATTATACAAATAAATTACTTTAAAGTTAATTAATTAAAAAACAAAGCCCTAACATAATTAATATACAACTAATTAATCTATGTTGTAATACGAGAATTAAATTCATTAAAATTAATTTTGATTTTATTTTAAGATTTGTCATTCATTAAAGTTAATTATGTTTCGTATATTTTTTTTATTTTTAATATTATTATTAAATTCTGTAAAAACTCTGCATTTACACAGAATATTGTATTAAATTATAATATAAATCATATAAAATAAGACAACAAACCCTATAGTAAATTGAATGAACAAAAACACTAAACCGATTGTTTTGATCTGATTTTAGCGGATGTGATGAACGTTACGCTCATCTATATTGACGGCTCATATATAGCAGTGATGTGTGTCTTAATAATTGTCTGTAAAGTCAACAAATATTTCATCAAAAATAGAAAAGAAATTAAATTTTCGAGGAATGAAGAGGAATGCAATAAATTCATTGAAATAGAGCTCATCTGAATAAATACATCACTAATTGTCGACTTATACCATAAATCTCATCAAATTTTATGACTTTTTTCTGCTGTAAAATATGCTTTAATTGCGAAATATATTTATATATAAATATGAAATAAAATTCATGAAAAGTCATATGAAAAATAATGTTAAACGTTATTATGCTATGGTTTTTAACGGCAATAATTTGCTCATTGAGTTTAATACAGAGCTGTCGCAGTGTTTGTTGGCCACAGCCTTTGCCAACCAATGCCTTCGTCTCCGGTATTGTTTGAAAACAATTTACAATTCAATTGTCGCCTCAATTACTAAATTGAAAATTGTATGAATGGTTAGCTTCTTGTAGAGGGACTCAAAGGTCGGGCACAATCTGTCAAATACAGTGTAGATCTGGTTACACACTCCAGGGCTCAGCCGTTAGGGTGTGTCAGAGGAATAGCTTGTGGTCGGGAAGACCTGTCAGATGTGTCCCACAAAACTCTCAACAAAGAACGTGTCCACCGATTAAAGAACTGGAGAATGGGTTTGTATTGAATTCATGCGACAATAGGTTTGCCATCGGATGCAGACTTACGTTCGCCTGCAATCAAAACCACACATTAAACGGCGATCGTATGGCAACGTGTTTAAGGGGTGGCCAGTGGTCAACCGTCAAACCCAAATGCGATGCCGTTGTGCCCACCCGTTGCCCCACTCTTGGCGCCCCTTCCGGTGGCCTTTGGATTAATCGACAAAATTATTACGAATGCATTGGAGAGCCGGGAGTGACCTGTAGTCTGGAGTGCAGACCGGGCTATGCATTAGTCGGTCCCACATATACCTACTGTGACACCAAAACCCGCGTCTGGTCTAAACCAATACCCACTTGTGTTAGAGAGTAAATGCAAAACTGGTTGACAACTAAATACAATCTCTTTAAAATTGCTTTCCTGTAATTCAAATGTAATTCAAATTTCATTAATGTAATCAACATTTGTTATAATAATATTATTGCATATTATGCAGAAATATCTGTAATTTTCAAATAAAGTATTAATTAAATAAATATAAGATTTAATTCATGTATATTTATAACTTGTTTTTAATTCTATCTTTTCTTTTATAATAAATTATGAACAAAATTGACAAAAAAAATTATAAGTGAATTCTCAATACACAACACGACAAACAAAATCATTATATAATAAGTGATTTAAAATTATAGAAATAGAAAATTGAAAAAATAAATTAATGAAACAATTAAATAATTTATTTGCGATTTTTGTAATGATATTAATTATAATTACTCGGATTTTTTGTTTGTGATTACAATTACTTGAATAGAATGTCATATAAATTATACAAAAACATAAAAATAATTACAATTCTTATGCAAAAAATAGACAAACATTTGAATAGAGAAATTAAACTAAACATAATTATTGTTAAATTAATAAAATGTTAATTTAGATTTTTAATTCATAATAAATATAAAAACACAATAAACTGAAGAATAGATTCACAAATTTTGTCGCAAATTCTTTCGCTTCAAAATTAATGAAATAAAGTGCGAGAAAAAAGACGATAATTTAGTTTTAACCCAAAAAACAATATTAGAGATCATAACTTGTGCTCTAATTTTGTTTGCAATTTCACTGTATGTATGCTTGAGAGAGAATTCATCGCTACAACAATCGGTCAAATACTAGCGCTTTTTAATATCAGTTTTTAATATTATATTTAATTATTTCCAAACTTTACTATATTTACAAAGAAAAAAGGAAAGAAAAAAAGAAAATATATAAATAAAATTTGTGTTCAAATATTGTTTTTAGTCGATTGTATTGTAAATAATAAAATTATAATTAAATTAAATTTTTAAACTAAAACAATAGCTGGAATGTGAGGCAAAACGCGTCCGCATTTGACACATACTATGCAAATGTTTTTGAGGAGAAGAAAGAAAACTCTTTATAATATATTTTAAATTTAAATAAATCAACAAATGGTTAGTCTGTGTGTCAGTCATCGATGGTTCGTGAGACTCGTCGGTCGGTCGGGAATTCTCGGCGGTATTAAAGGTCTATCTGTTGCGGTCGACGGATAAAGCGGAACATTACGCCTATTATAGACATATTGAGATACATATTATTTCGTGTTTACTTTATGTGTGTTTTTGTATTGTATTTGTAATTATAGATTGTTTTAATTAACGACAACATTAACAACAACGGCGTCAACGCTATCTAAATGTAATTTATATATACTGTATATTTTATGTATTGTTTAGCTATTTATACTGTATATTATAATTATAATAGTTATTCAAAGAATATATATTTTATATCATATTTAATTGTGAATCCATTTCTTTAATATTTAACACTAAAACAACTAATAATTTATTTTCATTTTCTTATCATTTGTGATATACTTGTAATCAATATATATTTATATATAATTAATTTACTTTCAAATAATTTACTTATTATATAACTTTTTATCTCAAAATAACACTGATATTCATTTATATGTTAATCCCTTAATATATATCATAAGATAATCTCCTAATCAATGCTAATCTCTAATGATATAATTAAATAAATATTATATATATATATTTCGAGTAAATATAATTGTATTCATATATAATATATATTTATAATCAATTGTATGTATGGTTTTGTTGTATAGATTTTTGTGCGAAAACGCCGTCGTATTCAACAAATAAGTCAAACAAATATAATAAAAGCACAGAATCTCTTCATGTGTTATATAATGTCAATAATTTGTTAATAAGATTTAATAGATATTATAATTTGAATAATGCATTGAAAGGTAAGAAGGAGTGAACAGTTATTTGTGAGCAGGCATTCCGAACGCATCGAGAATAGTGTCGGTCACTGCCTGTTGTATACGCGGCGGAACGTTAGGCATTCCTCGTCTGCAGCAGTAGAACAATGGATAACACAAAAAGCGGTTTCAATTGCAAAGTTAAGTCAAGTTAAGCATTCAATAGTTTTTCAAAAGCATCGATAATCACATGTAATGAGACATTCAATGAGAGACTTACGTTGGAATGAGTGGCGGCGGCATTCCTCCCAACGGACCCCTACCGGGCGGTGGAGCGCCGCGTCCGGGAACGTTGGGCGCCGGTCTGCCCGGCGGTGGCGGCGCACCGCGCGATGGGTTCGCCGCTGGCGGCGGCGCCGGACGACTCGGATTGCTCATCGGCGGCGCAACCTGTCGGCTACCGCCGCCTCCGCCACCGCCTCCTCCGCCACCAACCGCTGCCGGCGGGGGTGTGGGAGAGGGCGCTAAGTTGCGCAGTGACCAGTCGTCTTTGACGGGTGGCGGCGCCGGTGCGTAACTGGTGGCCATCGACACGTCGCCAATGATCCGGAGGGCCTCTTTGCACGCGTGATACATACGCAACATCTCTTCCCTCTTGCGTTCCTCTTCTGGCGACTCCTCCATCATTGATGCCTTGCGTTGGGATTACAATCGTATTAATTCATTGCAAACATATTGTCATTTAATCCAATGTTAAGTAAATACCTGATCGCCCGCAGCGTAAAGACAGGCCAACAGTTCGCCGTAAATAAAGTCTTTCGAGTCATTGATCATGAGATGCATTATTATCTTCGGAACCAAATCACTGTTCGTTTAATTAAATCAAAGGCTTTACTCTCATTTCAAATCTCTTATTATATCAATAAAACAATTCATTATTTCTGTATATAATTTATGTTTAATTAAAAGAATTTTATTAAAAGTATTACTATTTGTAACTAAAATTCGTGTTCAAGTGTCAGAAAATTAGCACTCATTTTGATGAGAGAAATGTTGACATCAATTAACAAAACATTTGTTTTTGTCATTTAAAGGGTTTGGCATTTCTGTGAAGATATAATAAAAGCCTTTCACCAGAACTACTGCCAGAATATGTGTCTTAAATGAGTTAATACTTGAGAATCGGTTACAAAATAATGCATTGCTTACAATCCAGTGAACAGAGAAATGAAAAATCGATTTTACTTTTACTTTTGTTAACACAAATTGCTTTTGACCTTTCAATTAAGACAAGCAACTGATCGAGAGCTTAGTCTTAACTCAAATCTGCTTTTCCTACAAATCTTTAAAAATGCAATTCAAACACAATTAAAATCTAAATCCCTTCAAATGGTTTGTCAATGATTTGATTGTCAAACAAACCAATTCCTGTATTCATATCAAAGATATATATCAATAATAAGCCATTAGATTGAAGGCCATAACAATAAAACAAAGTCTCATAAAAACAACTGTTTGTAAAAATGAAAATCAATACAAGTATTGAATGAATGCCTCAATTGTTTAAATAATCGATTGGATGTTTGGATGAATAGAAATGAGAAATGAATTATAAATTAATTGGTATTAGAGACCAATGAAACAAAAAAGGAAACGATCGTCAGATTATTGATTACATTATGATTTCGTTAATTAAATAAAAACAAAATTTAATATTTTATTACAACAAATGAATTCAATTAAAAATACTAATTATTTCTTTGATTACACGAGAGAAGTGAAAGAGCGCTATAAAGGGAGGGAATGAAAGGTCATTTGAGTGTTATGTTAGCAATGGGTCGGTCTCTCACTAATAAAGAGCTAAATTATATTTTCTCGTGTCTTATGCTATATATTGTCTTAAACTATAAGAATTGGATTCTAGAGATTAGATCCAGAATATAAGCCACGCCCACATACACTACTCCTATATTGTTATTAATTAAATAACATCTGTATATACAGTATATGTTGTAATAAATTGAATTCAAGTGATTACTGACCGGAAAGTCTTCGTCACAATCTTCATGTAAGAGTCGACCAGATTTCTAATGGTCTCCACTTGTCGTTCCAGTTGTGGATCAAGACTGGAAACGCCTCCTTCAGAGCCGCCGTCTTCGCCACCATTAGCTGACGAGTCGCCCGAAGAACTCGCTCTCTCGGGATATACACCGGCTCTTAGGAAAGACGCCTTCCATGAGTCCACGTCTTCCTGTGTTTCGCACGANACTCCAAGTCTCTAATAGAGACTTCGTTGGCGACCAGTAGACTAAGCTCTCGATCAGTTGCTTGTCTTAATTGAAAGGTCAAAAGCAATTTGTGTTAACAAAAGTAAAAGTAAAATCGATTTTTCATTTCTCTGTTCACTGGATTGTAAGCAATGCATTATTTTGTAACCGATTCTCAAGTATTAACTCATTTAAGACACATATTCTGGCAGTAGTTCTGGTGAAAGGCTTTTATTATGTCTTCACAGAAATGCCAAACCCTTTAAATGACAAAAACAAATGTTTTGTTAATTGATGTCAACATTTCTCATCAAAATGAGTGCTAATTTTCTGACACTTGAACACGAATTTCAGTTACAAATAGTAATACTTTTAATAAAATTGTTTTAATTAAACATAAATTATATACAGAAATAATGAATTGTTTTATTGATATAATAAGAGATTTGAAATGAGAGTAAAGCCTTTGATTTAATTAAACAGTGATTTGGTTCCGAAGATAATAATGCATCTCATGATCAATGACTCGAAAGACTTTATTTACGGCGAACTGTTGGCCTGTCTGTACGCTGCGGGCGATCAGGTATTCACTTAACATTGGATTAAATGACAATACGTTTGCAATGAATTAATACAATTGTAATCCCAATGCAAGGCATCAATGATGGAGGAGTCGCCAGAAGAGGAACGCAAGAGGGAAGAGATGTTGCGTATGTATCACGCGTGCAAAGAGGCCCTACGGATCATTGGCGACGTGTCGATGGCCACCAGTTACGCACCGGCGCCGCCACCCGTGAAAGACGACTGGTCACTGCGCAACTTAGCGCCCTCTCCCACACCCCCGCCGGCAGCGGTTGGTGGCGGAGGCGGCGGCGGCGGCGGTAGCCGACAGGTTGCGCCGCCGATGAGCAATCCGAGTCGTCCGGCGCCGCCGCCAGCGGCGAACCCATCGCGCGGTGCGCCGCCACCGCCGGGC